TCGGTCAAGAAACCATTTTGGTCGGTTTACTCGACCAAGAATCTTGCTCGGTTAATCGAAAAATTTGATCGATCAATTGCACCACTAGATCCTAGTAAAGGGTTCAACTTAACGATTATAGCTTAACACTAAATATGTAACATCTTACGACAGTTAATCGGGAAAGTCCGGGAAACTTGAATGGGCAAATTTTATCTTCAATCTTCATTTAATAGATCTAAGTAATAAGTGTTGATTTGATTGTTTAATAATTTCCATTATTTAAGATTAATATGTAAAAAAAACCAACAATATCTACACAACGGGTTAAAGTATTTACATGTTGCAGAATACATGCCTTCATTAATAATTGATACTCATACATCGCAGCCATTTTCAAATAAAATTATGCAACACCAACTTAATGGTAAACGTTGGCAAAGATATGACATACAAACATGATATATTATGATATAAAAATGACATAATAAACAATGAAACATGGAAGTGTTTCCACAAAGGAGAACAACTTAATAGCCAATGTCCTGCTAAGGGAATGAACTACGAGCAGGTCTTATTATTTCCCTTACATAACACATACCTTGGCAATGTTTCCTGTATAACGTTGGCTCGAATCCAGCTTTGCACATATCTATAATATATTGTAAGGAAAAATTTTAAAAACCACCTCCAACAACAACAGAATATTAGGTGCATAATATGTATCTCTCGATATAATATATTATAAATAAATAATACACCTCTTGCTCCGACATAAGGACTTGATTCCTTTCAAATACATCTATCAAACATCTATCACTCTCTATCTGTATATCTTTCTAATATCCACTTGTATATCTATCTAATATCAATCTATATATCGATCTAACCTCTACCTGTACATCTGTCTAATATCTATCTGTACATCTATCTTATATATATATGTATATATTTATATATATATATTATATATATATATATATTTTTTTTTTTTTTTTTTAAATTTTTAAAAAAAATTTTATTATTATTATTTTTTTTTTTTTTAATATATAAACTAGTCAACAAAAGTTAAGGAACGTACAGTAAAAAAAAGTGATATATTTGTATGCATTCTTTCGAGGTTTTACTTTTACTCGTAAAACTAGGCTAGATATTGGGGAAATGTTACTCTATGACTAATGGGATTGTACACACCAGGGTTTGAAGTGCACGTGACTCCTGTGCGATGAGCTTGGGAGGGGGCAAAAGGGTCCAATGTTTTCCAATTATCGATTTTTATTCTCTAGCTCTTACCGTCAGGAAAAATTATGAACGCTCAAAAATCAGTTTTCAATTGCAAGATCCATGTCTCGTGAGTGACTTGCACTCGCTCATTTGCACCATTCTGCTACTGTAGGGCTAAGCGTAAACTGCCTCCTCGACAGAAATTGTCTGATGTAAACAGAGGACGAGTCATTGCTTAGGTACAAGATGGTGTTTCACTCCGACAAGTTGCTACACGTCATCGAGTGTCCGTTTCTGTCATTTCACGGCTGATTCAGCGTGCCAACGCCACTGGTAGTGCCCAAGAGCGACCCAGATCAGGTCGACCAAGAACCACTAATGTAAGGGAAGACCGATTCATTCATAGACAGACTCGGCAGTCGAGATCCGCTCCTGCAAATCGCATCCGGACACGGCTGAGAGCGGTAACTCGTGTTAACATTAGTTGTCAGACAGTACGAAGACGTCTTCATGAGTTTGGACTTAATGCACGTCGACCAGCAGTCCACCAGCGTCTCATCCCAGTACACAGGGCTGCTCATCTTGCCTTTTGGCGACGCCAAGTAAGATGGACACGTCATTAGTGGGTAAACGTTCTCTTTAGCGACGAGTCCCGGTTCACTTTGCATCACAATGACGGCCGTATCAGGGTTTGGAGGTGACACGGAGAGCGGCTCCTCGATGGAGCCGTCAGAGAAGTGATGCTTTTTGGAGGTGGTTCCGTGATGGTATGGGGTGCTTTCAGTCTGAACCACAGAACACCTCTGTACCAAGTGCTAGGGAAACTCACTGCAATACTTTACTGAGATGAGATACTCTGCCCATTAGCACTACCTACTCTGCAGCAGATGGGGCCACATGCAGTGTACCAGGATGACAACGCCCGACCTCATAGAGCGTAACTTGTCCAAAACTTCATGCAGCAGGCTGGCATCAACAGAATGGACTGGCCGGCCTGCAGTTAGGTCTTGAATCCCATAGAAAACCTCTGGGATGAGCTGCAACGTCGAGTCAGAGACAACCACACCCTTCCAGGAGACGCGCAGCAATTGTTTCAGATGCTGTAGGCAGAGTGGCAGGGGAGGCCTCAGAGAGTGTTCACCAACCTCATGAACTTGATGAGGAGCTGGTGTACTGAGTGCCAGTACACTCGTGGAGGGCATACTCATTATTGAAATCATCTGAACTGTTTGGTTTTTGTTGCAGTCAGAAGTTAAAATAACTTCGAAACCGCTTGACAATTTTTGGGATTTGGGATTTTAACCCCTACCGAACTCAATTAACTTTTCAAGCAAGTTAAAATGAAATAACTTCATTTTCTTTTTTGGTACTTGCTATACACATGTTGATTAAAATGTGTATCAAATTTCATTGCGTGTTGAAGTTTGCTTTCGAAGTTATACACCTTTTCTCAAATGTTCCTTAATTTTTGTTGACTAGTTTATATATCTGTATTTCTAAAATGTATCTAGCTGCATATCTATATTACATCAATCCGTATATCTATTAGTATATAATGATAACAATGATGATGATGATGATGATGATGATGATGATGATGATGATGATGATGATGATAATGATGATGATGATTATTTTTTTTGTTTCCTTAATGGGCCTGACGGACTTCACGAAGAAATCTTCGAGCGAGAGTGAGGCTCTTTTTCGGCTCCATTGTCAATTTGCTTAGCGGCACCTCCACTCGTCCAAATAATTCCATTCGAATTGCCATTGTTCCTGGACATTCAAACATGTTTGACATCCTCCTTTTCATGGCTGCATCTTCGGCAACATGGGCTGAGCTCTTCATTTACAAAGTTCTTATACTATCTTAAACTCCAATGATGGTACGACCGCAGTCTCGCTAGCTCAACCTGGTCCCAGCGACATGTGATAGATTTTTGTTCCCGCTTATAGGAGTACCCAGAATACACATCTTCCAGGTGCTGGTTATTAGATCTACATGGTGGGTCTCTGATTTCTCTCTTGATTATTGGAAAGACTCCTCTGTATGTCGTTGGTCGTCTGTCTCCTTCGATCTCTATGGCTTCATTAGCAGCTTGGTCTGCTGCCTCATTTCCTTCTATTCCAACATGGCTTGGAATCCACTGAACTTGCGGCGCAAATCATTCATGTCCGAGCTGTTGCCCAGCAGCCCCTATGATGATGATGATGATGATGACGATGATGATGATGATAATTATTGTCATGATTATTGTTACAATAATTACTATATATTAGGTATTATCTGTTTATCCATCTATTTATCTCTCTATGACTCTATTTATCTATCCTTCTATCTACCTATCCACCAATCTACCCATCTACCCATCTACCCATCTACCCATCTACCCATCTACCCATCTACCCATCCACCCATCCACCCATCCACCCATCTATCTATCTATCTATCTATCTATCTATCTATCTATCTATCTATCTATCTATCCATGTGTGTGTTTAAAAAATATATAAAACGCCTCTCCTCCTCATCTCCCACTCACCCTCCATGTCTTTGTACAATACGCTGTAAAAACACCTCTCTTCACATATATGTTATTATGTTCTACATGTTGCACACACACACTTTCTACTTTTTACTATGGGGGGGGGGGGGGGGGGGGCTCTCGTGGTTTAGAGGTTAAGGTGTTCCCCTCTCATTCAATAGAACCCGGGTTTGAATTCTAATAGCGATTTTTCTTCTCTAAATTTGTATCCTTCATTTTCACATCCTCTCCTCCTCTCTAACAATGTTCTGTCGCCAGCTTTCGTCTCCACTTTCTGCCCCCACCCCCTCACCTTAGTCCGAGCGCCAGATGAAAAAGCTTGTTTTGCGTCATAAAGTTGTTTTCTTTGGTGATTCTAACTGAGTTTTCATTGCTGATTTCAAATCTAATAGAGGCCAAATGCTAAACGTTGGGCATTTTTGTTTAAAAGTGAAAATCCAAGATGGCCGTCGTGGAAGTTCGAGTGAAAGATGTTGTGAGGGATATCATGCATTTAAAGACATACAAATGTACAAACTTAATTAAATAGCATTCAGTGTGACAAAAGTAACCACACTT